AGCATATTGTTTTAACTCATAGTTTTAAAGAACATTAAGTCATTTTCACGGTTTGTTTTAGAAGGATTTTATTGGTTAAAAATTAATTTTCTCATTTTCGACCCCTCAAAAAAAGTTCTATTCATTTTTAAACCATTTTGTAGAGTTTAAGAAAACATATGATGTAGTGTACTGAAGCATTGTTGTATGCTTAATGATTACAATAAAAATACCAAAATTATATACATAATCAAATTCCCATGTTATTCTTATAGTAAATAAATAAAATGTTGTGGTTTGATTGTTTAGTTTTTATATTTTCATCGACATTTTTAAAATGTTTTAATAATTTTATACTAAGCTATCGACATTTCAATAGAAAACACATTATTTGACCTCCCCTGTAGCATCAAACTTATGTAATCATTGAAACTATTATAGGAAATCAATCTGACAATTTTAAAGGTATATTTTAGTGGAAATCCAGCCAGGCAAATGGAAATTCGCTCAGTCCGCAGGTTTGCTGTGGAGGTATTTCTTATTATAGTTTTTGCGGTAAAAGAACTTTATGTTTTTATAAGAACTTATCCCCGTGTGTTCTGTTCTTTCATAAATGTTGGTATGGCCATAAAAGAATCGTTATAGTTAAAGTTTTGCCAAATGTGGGACCATAACATGTATCACATTACCATTTGTGTTTGTCTTACTTAAGGTAATGGTTTGAGCTTTAGAATGAAACGCGTAATATGTTTAACAAAAATTGATAACATACCGTACACGTTGTGTACGTTTATACGTTTACTTATACAATTCAGTAAATGATATTATTAATCAGATGCGCAGAAAAAATTTTGCATATGACGATTAACATCTAAAAAGCAGTAAGTAACTAAAACATTCGATGACATCCTACTTAATCTTCTTCAATAAAGGATAATATTTACTTTCTGGTAGTGTTTTCCAAATCGTATAATCGACATTATCTTGTAAAATAAATGGTCGCTTTTTACGATATTCATATTGGACGTTTTAAAACTAATTTTATGAAGAAAATAAATTTCAATAATCATCTAAAGTCATTTAAACAGGTATGCCAATACATGTTATAGAGTTGAATATGGCTGAATCAGTTTAGTTTAAACATCAAATGTATACATCTAATTAAAAATAAAATTGTTGTACCAGTAGTAGTTCAGGCTGTATTATGTTTTCTATTTTTTGTATTATTTGTTTATTAATATTAAAAACACAACAATTTTTTTATTGAGTTATATCACCTTTAAAGCGTTATTGGGTTAGTAGTAACCATATTTTAGGGCAACAAACAAAGTTAGAGTTGTCGTTAAGCTGATATCGACGTAAGTTTGATATCTTGCCAATAACGTAAGGATAACGATATTGACTTCCCTCGTTCCAGATTATACGGTGGAAACAAAGGCCATTATAGGCTGTCTTAGCTAGTGCTTGCCCTAGCAATATTCACACACAGGAGTTTAATAGTGATTTAATTTTATGTTTACGGATTTCACAGTTTGTATTTCTCGTATTTATTCATATGCGAGGCATATTTTTGCACCATTTTACATGAAAATATAATAACCATAAGAAAATAAATTGAAAAAAATGCAATATAACATTATAAAAATATAGCAATAACAACGATAACGAGAATCAAGCAAGAACAATGATGAAATGTTAAAATCAGGTACTTATGCAAATGCAAAAACGAATTTTCCACCGATTAATTGAACATGTAATATGAAAAAACAATAAATTGAGTGACAAAATATATATAACAATGACAATAAAGCTATACAAAAACACATAACAATGATAAATATGAACATAAGTGTGTAAAAGACATTAGGTGAAATTTTGAATGCAACAGCAACGACTAATAACCTGCATATTGCACAGGAAAACACTTTATATGGCACTTTACAGGCACCACCCTTCAACTGACATTACACCAGAGATACTCCTCTAAAATTACGATGGGGAACCATAGAAGTCGACCATAGAATCCATCTCACTGCTCGCCTGAGAAGCATAGATATACCACTGGGCATATCTCGTGTTCCGCAAGGTATTAGTGATTAGTGAAGTCTATATCCTGAAGGTTATCACTACACTGGTTTGATTTTATTGCTAACCAATCTCTGATGTATTGTATTTGTATTTAATTGAATTATAAATATTATACATAGCCTATTACTGTAATGTTTAATGGCTGAATTTTGAATTTCAAATTACATCTATTAACATTGTGGTTATTGTTGATCAGGTGTTCAGCAAACTTGGAATGTTGAGCTCGCAATTCCGGTTCGGGGAGGTGTTCGTTAAACCTTTTCTTGAATTAACGGCCTTCATTCAAGACACTATGTAAATTTTTGGACAGTTGCTGCATGATAAATTGTATACTCCGGTGTCAACTAGACTGTTAGAGACTGTTGATTTTGAAGAAGTGGATTTAAAGGCCTTTCTAATTAACTAATAGATTGCAGGACAATGTTATATTGTGTTATTTTAATAAGTAATTTAAGTTGTAGGTGCAAACTTCTGCCGTATTCAATGAAGATGAAGTACGTATTGTACGATACTGGGATTTAAGAACGTTGCTACTAACTGAGACACTGTTATTGATTCAACAAATAAGTCCAGTCGTGGAATCTCCTCCACAACTTTCCACTCAAACGGATTGCATTGTGTAATACTATACAATATGGTTGAAGTCCTCCTTCAACAACAGTTTTGCGATGCGATATTTTTCTTCCTACTTTTATCCATTGTAGTGGAATTAGAACACTAGTCTATGGATTAAATCCACTGTATGTACATGTATTTCCCATTATAAGTTAGGGGAGGTAATAAAAAAGCCTGAAAAAAATGTTTTGTTAAGAAATGTTGAATGACAAGATCCTCGATGGCGTACTTACATCCTATTGGCTACTGGAAGTTCTGGACAAGAGGTTTGTTTACGTACAACTAGAGTCAAAATTTACTTGTTTGCTAATTAGCTTGTTACTATTTTTATATTCAAATTGGGATGATGTCATAGTGTTGCTTAAAATCTAAACTTAGCTTCCATAAATAAAAGGTTTCTGAGGAAGGTTGCAAGTGTTCGACTTCACGGTGTAGTTAGGTTGTTGGAAGACAAGACCGAGAGACGGGACGAGACGGTTCAGCTTTAAAAAAACGATGGATACGGAAAAAAAGAAAATGTTGAACGGCAGGTTCGCGCGTCACTCCATGAAGCTGTGGCGTTTGCGTCACAATTCAAATGTGATGCCTATATTTGTATTGTCCTTAAATGTGGGAATTTTTATTTCATAATGATGTTAAGCTAAAATGGAAAATAACTATATCACAACCACTGGTTTAGGTGGTAAAAGGTGCTAGTGGTAATTATGCCGATTAAAAAATAAAGAAACACAATTGAACTATATTTCACAAGCTATAAAACTAATATTAGATATTTTATTTCTTTTGAAAACGTTATTAAAACTCTGTTTTTAATTTTGAAGTTAGCTCTATACTCTTTATGAGTGTCATAAGTGTCACAAAGATAAAATTTCGCAAAAAATTGAGCTTTCTTTGTTTTACTCCACACCGTTATATCCTTTGGAGAGAACCACTAAGCAAACGTTTACCCTTTATCCACACAAAGGCCTGTATTCTTTAGCCAGAATATACAAGAACGTAAATGGTTTATAAATAACTCACTGGAACTTGTTATGGTAATGTTCTAGCTCACTTATTTATCAACGTATCGTACTTATGTCGCCAATATCTAAGTCCTCCTAACTGTATTCGACAACATTACACAATTTAACAAATTTCAGTGGAAAGTTTCTGTTTGGGATCTTGCTCTGTGACTAGTTGATTAATGTTTTTTATGTTGAAAGTGAAGTAAAATATTTTAAACATTCTAAGCTGATGTTAATGTTAACTCCCACCCCAGTAGTAGTGTCACAAAATACCAGGACAGTACTATGGGTTAATGCTTTCCTTCAAGTTGACAAACCATGGTTATTTTACTACTTGAATAATTATTTTGTGGTATGTTAGATTTAACACTAATACCGAAACCCTACCTAGGCTGACGTTAACCGAAACCCCCGGTCTGTGAGACCCCATTTGAAAGATAATGGACCCCGCTTGGACAAACACAAACCGAAACCCTCGGCCTGTGAGACCCCGCTTTAAAATACACTAACGCTGGGCGTCTGAGACGGGCATGTTATGAACAGACATCCTGTCAAGGTCATGGCACCTATGCAAAATGAACAAACAGTATATCAATAGGCAGGGGAGGAAAAGGGGGGAAGGTATTGGGGGAATGGAATCTCCCAAGTAAACAGTGTTGCCATAATGCGTTTGTGAAAATTCCCGTGGGCCTGTCAGACCGGGGTTTCGGTATTAGTGTTAAATAATAGGAAAAGAACAACTATTATTAGTGTTCTAAATATGTACTATGATAAGTTTAAGTAGTCTGACTAGCAGACAGTAAAGGAAACATAGTTTCTGGCTTGAGGGAATATATTGTTCCTATCAGTAATTCAACACTTTACTAAATATGATTGGTTCATTCTTATCTATTATAACTTACTATAAACTATTATTAAGGATGATGGAAAAATTTAAGTACACGATAACTTTCAACAATTTATTTTATTTCAAAAATAATATTAAACGTTTTATTAGTAATACATGTTATTTACAAGCCAACTGCGTCATTACAGTAAGCAACTTTATACACATACATGAGTCCTTATTATCACCTTTATCATCATTCGCTGAAAACACTCAGCAACAGCCGCTAGATAAAAACAAATACGAACTTGGGAAGGAATACATACAAATTGATAAAGTAATAGGAGGGATAGAAACATATGTTAAAGGATTATCAGGAAAACTACCATGAATTTAATTAAGAAGATCTTTTAGTACATAAGATAATATTTAAGTTAGCAAAAGTTCAATTTTACAAATTTATAATATCGTTGACTTATTAAAAAAAAATCATTTGTTTGTGGTTAATTTTATTTATACATCCTTAAAATCCAGTTTTTCAACAGTGTAATATAACCTGGATTGATTAAATTTTTGAATGATTTAAAAATCACAGAAGGCCTTATAATAAATATCAATAAATGTGTAATCATGTTGCAATTTGAAATTTAATTTTAATACGAAAAAATACATTTTAAGACAATTTTTTTATGTTTTAAGAACTTTTTGGAACATACGAACCATTTTAAAAGATATTATTTATAAACCATTCGATAAATAACAAAATTATTGGTAGGAGTTTTTGTCACATCAAGAAAAGACACGACGAAAAGAAAGAAAACACTGAAACCATAACACTATCGTCCGCTTTAACACTATATACACTATACACGGGTCACACATGATACAGCGCGTCTTCCGTTTCCGGTTTGCTCCGGTTCAACTGGTCACATATCCGGTTCAGGTCGTTGGCCAGGCACCGGAAGTCGACCTGTCGCTCGATTTGTCACACCCTTAGCTCCTCCATTGGCTTTCCCTGGGTGTGTTTCCGCCCCAGAGTACCCGGATGGGTGCTGATGAGCTGGATACTCCCATGAGGTGCTAGGAGTGGCTGGGTCTCTGCTTGAGCCGGGGGTTTGACGACCTTGGGGGGTGGAGGAGGCCTAGGGAGGGTTCCTCCGTCAGTGAACTCCGCGGGAGGCAGACGATGACTCTGGGGAGGCTGGAGCACCAAGAGGGTTGTGTCCGAGGTTGGAGTCTTAAGGATGGAGGGTATACTGGTAGGGGTGCGAGTTTCCATGATCTGCAGGAGTTCCGTAGGTCCTAGAAATGTACATTCGAGTCAAATTCATGGCTTAGGTACATTGTATATTAATGTGTATGTGATAATGTGTATGTGTAAAAATATCCGATGGGAAATAACTATTTACGTAGAACCTCTAGGTAAAGGTTATCGATGTTATATTAAAGCTAAAGTATGCTGAGGTTATCTGGGCTGTGCATCAACTTGTTTTATAAATCTATGTATTCTTCCCTAAATGATGTATAAGTTTATGACTAATGTTGTGATTAGACAAGTGAAAGCTTAGTGACCACAATTACTGACAATATTATTTCTGCAGGAAATATAACTGATATACTAATCAACCTTTTCGATCATTTAGTTATAGATGCATATCATGTTTTACAATACTGTCCTAATATCCATCAAATGTCGCTATCCCAATATCATTTACTAACATTGCGATGTTTAAATTATAACAACTCCCTCACCTCCAGTTACACAGATATTGCTCATAGGTCCACCATTCTCCTGCCGCTTCTTGAGCGTGGAGTTGCAGGAGGCTGTGGAGTTGTTACTGGCCGGACTCGAGTCACCGTGTCTTCCTTTGTCTCTCTGGTAGTAAACGCCAGCGAAGATCAGGACATTGAGGAGCAGCAGAGAGCAACCGATGGCTATCGTAACGCTCAACGCTGTAGAGTAGGCGGCAAACCCATCCTCCTAATAACAATATGTGTTAGTACTTGATTGTAAATTATACAATTGAATAACAGCACGGACGAACATACTACATGTCTTAAAATGGTTGATTTTACTTACTCTAATTAGGAAAACCCGGTTCAAGCTTAAAAATAAAAGTTTAATGAGAACCTCATTTGCCCCAATAGTGAAAAAAATCGTGGGCCTCTCTCGCGATCGCGGTGAAAATCTCTCGTGGTCAGGGCATCTTAGCTTGCAATCGTGCAAAACAATGAATGTTAGATGTATTTCGGAAGCTGTTCAATAATTACGTTCTGTTTTAGTTCAGGATCATTCATTACTTTTTTTTCTCCAGCGACTACATCTAGTCTGTTTATCTCGTTCTATGACAGGAATATTGATAAAACCATACAACCATTATTAAGTAGGCCTAAGGATCTAGCACTTGAAAATGACTTGAACATTAACAATATCTTATTTCGATGTTTCCTTTTATATGACCTTTGGACGAGAATACGAATTCTCATAGCACTCCTAACATTTAATTCTTCTTCAAAATAGGCCTAAACAGAGTGATGGATTTCTTACATAAATAATATACAGCACAGAACTAAATAAAAACGTTAACATTCTATGTATTACCTGCTGACTGTCCGAAGACTCCTGTGCGGCAGAGCCTCTGTCGGAGGAAGAGGGAGCGACGACCACAACCGGTGGCATGTAGAGTCCCAGGGAACTGTTGTCGTAGGAAGGTGAAGGCAGAACTCCCTGGCCCACACTGACAGTCGTGGTGTCGTGTGGAGGCTTACGAGAGGATGGCACAGCTGGAAACTGGTACAACAAGATAAATAATTATTTATTTTATTTTGAGTAGATTGACATGTGCTATATTTTGAGTTTAATTTGTTATATCCAGGAAAATCTCTGAATTTATTATGATCAAGTAAATATTATGATGTTTGTAATGTGTAATAATAATGTAAATATGTTATGTGAAAAATAATGATTTAGGCCTTCTAAAAATTTGAACCATTTAAAGACCTAGTTGGATCAGTGATTCACTGAGTTCACAAATTTAAATAATTTGATTTCCTGTCATAGGTTTTTCCTATGCCACTAAATCCTTTCAGTTTTCTCCGCTTTAATGTTCGCACTTTTGTTCAAAGTTGGTAATTTATATTTTCGTTGCTGACTCAATTTTTCCAAAAGTTCATACAGCCTTAAAATGCAGTGTAAAGTATTATCTACATTGTATATTTAAAGATTATCACTGAATAATTTTTTTATCCATGTAATATGCGAAAGTCTACAAGCGTATTCCAAGTAAAATTTGTAAATCGCATTGGCTGAGTTAACTAAATCTATCCTGACGTTTCTTTGGGAGCCTCAATTGCAATTTTACCAAGGTAATAAGAACAATCCCCGAAATATAAGTCCAAAGGGTTGCAAATTTTTCGCTAACAATCCTTTGTTTGGATGTTTCTAGTAGTTAGTTAATACCCATAACATATATGGTTTCTTAACTCCCTTATATACATCATACAATTGAGCAGAGAAATTTAAACGAGTACATTGTTCATAATAAAAGCTTGGTAGTTACCAAATGAGGATGGTCGTCTGTCTCCAGCTGATGATGAGTCCGAGGAACGTCGTCTCCGCCTGGTCTGTGGAGATCCGGGACAAGGTTCAGCCAGAAGGAGAGACGGTGGGCCCTGTAGTGGTTCTTGAGCTTTGGTTTTATATCTGCAGAGAGAAAAGAAGATACCATTAGCAATAATTCATTATTTGTTAAAGTAATTGTTGTAAAAGTAATTGTTAAAGTAAAAAAAAGAGAATCTGTATTGAGTTGTTTTGATTAAACTACACCTGGAAATTAACTGGAAACTCAATATAATAACTCATATACAAAATCCCATTGTGTCAGTTCTGTATTAGAATTAACATAACCTACATACCACAATAAAATTCACACATCCAAAATTTATTAGATTCATATTTTTGGTCATTTTGTTTTAAACAACCATATTGTCAAATCATACACATGATTAATAAAATTTTTCCAAATTCACAAAAAAAATATTACATGATATATTTTTTTTATTTTATGATGAAAGGAATATCCTCAGAACATTTTAAATACTTTTTAGAGTCCTGATACTAAATGTAATTAAAAATCAACCAAGCAATAACAAGCTTTGAAGGTTTAATTTTAGAACATAATAAAGGCACCTAAGCGTATTTGATCGAATTACGTTCAGCGTAGTAAGGAAAATTTAAGCAGAAAATTTGTTAGAGCACATAATTAAATTGAACTGCTTCAAAAGTTCTTTCAGAAAAAAAGGAAAATATCTTATAAAAATGTGTGCGATTGAGTGAATGATTTAGATTTACTGTTATTAATCTTGAAAAGGTTTTCTCTCTGATTGATTTTGAATTCTCGACTTTATTTCAAGCCTTTAAATAGTATAGAGATTTGTCTTAATACTATGACTAAAATATTTTATAAATTTACCAAGACAAATATATTTTTTATGAACGGATTCATATGGAGCCCATTCAATGTTCTTGAATCGATTCTTCTCTTGTCTAAAACCATGCACGAGATCAGTATCCTGCGGTTCGTTAGGATTCCTAAAACAAACAAAAATTATTTGTATAGAAGAGAGGTAGATTTATTCTTTATCTTTTATTTTACATTTTAAAATATTCAACAATCGTGCATATCAATAATTTTACCATAGCAAACTAAATTTAAACTTTAAAGGGACATACATTTTCATAGACGACCTCATTCAAACGAACATTTCTACCGAACTTTAAACCAATTTCTTTAGTCATGATATTCGATATTATTTACGAATTTCTCAATTATAGCTATGTTTTATCTCGGCCTCTGTACATTATCACCAACATATTGACCACTTGAGCCATCGTGTATGTTAGCTACGTTTCAAGGGTAAAGGAAAAGGAGGATAAGAGGGAACATGAAACAAAGTCTGAAGGTTTCCCGTTTTCGATTTCAAGGACCAAGATCTAAAGGAGTTTGAGACGTAGGTTTTGATAGTGGCTACAGAAGAAAGTAATGTCGCAGTTTCTGCAAAGATGTTGGGATGTCTGGAGAAGGCAGATAGGGAACTGATGTTGAAGCTCTGAAGGATAAGGAGGGTCAAAGTTGGAATTTCTTGAAATAAAATTCTGACAAATAAAATTTATGATATGTTTCTATGAAAATAATTTGGTTTTCTATTTGTTTTCAATCATGGTTTTACTTCTAAAGTACTTAGTCTATCAAACATTCTGTATTACATCCTTTAATGTTTAGGTTTTACACGGAATAAAAATAAGAGGCGTTTCCTTGATAACTAAAAAAAATCCCTGAACAGAAAATATTCAGATTAAGAGAATTTTCCTTTGCCTGATTGAATTATTACAAAAAAAAATATTTAAAATTACAGTTCTGTCCTGTATTCAGAGTAATTTAACCTAAAACATACAGTATTTCACATTGAATTTACTTGAGGTTAATTTTTCTTTTCTTAACACACACTTCCTTTTAAAACTAAGAAATTTGTATTCCATCAAAGCTAGTTTAACCTTAGGGTTTAAATATAACTTAAACTTATAAAAGTACATTTCTACCAAAATATCAACAAGGAGATTCTTCTTAACAATTGGGGAATTAGTTATTTAACTTTAGTATTGTGATTAAAATACAATATGAAATAATAGAGACACTTTGTCAAAAAAAAAAAATACCATAGACTAATTATGTAACGTATTGTTTTATAATAACTGGATTTTACAAATTTATGTTTCATTGTTACCGTAATTAACTACATTAAACTCACATCTTAACCCTTTGATGCATCTAAGTAACATTTCAGTACTAATTGAAACAATTTATTAAAGCAATTTTTAATGCTTTAATACTTTACATTGTGACAGATTATAATGCATGACCAAGGTTGTTATGCCACTATTACAAAGTTTTATTGTTATTTGATTACTGTAAACCAATGCGGATAGAAAGGTGTGTAACATATTTCTATATTACTCACCCAGTCCTAGCAAAGTTGCTCCAATACAGAATAGTGGCTTCAGAGAGTAGTATTTCTGCCTTAGTGTAGTTTCTGGGGAAATGCATCATACCAGCCACTAGGGGCGCTCCGAACACGTAAGGCAGCTCCTCCCCATGGATACAACCCTGGCGCTGTAACAATACAAAACACATGGAGCTCAGGGAATAGCCAGCTGCTTGACGGTTTAATATCTATTACGCTTTACAATAGATATTACTCCAAGGAAATAAACACTGTGTGATTGTAAGTACTTCATAGTGATTGTATTCTTTAGGCTTAAAAATACACTATACGCTGTAAAATTTAAATTTGAGATTGTCTGTGATTTGTTTAGGTCGTACATCTTTGTAGAGATAAGTTAAACATTATAGTTTCTTTGAAACATTGTTATATAATTGAAATTGTTCAGAGTTACTTTAAACATCGTCTATGTTTGTTAGTAAACTTCCCTAGTCTGAATCCTTATTGTGATGTCGTTTGTAATTATTGAACAAAACATTAACACTTTACATACAGATATAATTAAATAAATAAATAAATCGTGTAGGGGATTTCATCCAAGGCATTTTCAGTCGTTTTATGGTAGCATAAGTATTATAACCCTAACAAAGCTACAAAGATAATCTTACTACTATTCTACACATATATTTGGGTTAAAATCCACACATAGGTAGCTTCTCCAGCTCAATGAATGATAATTGATAAAATATTTACCGTTAAGACTTTCCAAATATTTTCCCCTACACTAATGTGTTTTATTATCTCTAAAAGGTATTCAGTTTGTCAATATTTCGTATTAATACGGTGCTCAGCCTGTTATGATAATAAAGAGCACTGCTTATAAAGAAGGGTGTAAGTTATTTAAGATATTATATTGGCCGATATCCATCATGGATAGGAAAATACTAACTTTCACGACGTTTTAGAAACAAAAATTTTTATCCCGTATTTTCGATCTCAAAACTTCATAAAAACCTTTTTGTTCTTTTTTTCCTTCACAATATGTGATATAAAGAGTCTGAAGTAAACGCTCAAATAACACAATTTCACCACTACTAAAAATACACTTCTAACAAAACGTAATAAGTTTCATAGATACAGTACTAGTTACGTCATGGCTTTCTGCTTACGCTGTCTGTGTTTACTTGAATAATAACCAATCGATATGCCTACATTTTACATTGGACACAATACATTGGAATCTTTCTTTCAGTTTTTTTTGTGACCTTAAAACAGTTAATCAATCCTATGAAAGGGTAAATATTTACACCGAAGAGATCTCGCTCACAAAAAGTACATTCAATACAATATTTCTTTAGTCTTCCCTACCACCGTTGCCTCTTCACATATCCTCCCTACCTGAGGATAGTCTCCAAATTTGCTCTGGTAGTCGAAGACATACAGATATGAGTTTCTTCTCGCCGAGGAGTGCAGGTCTGCGGTGTGTATGACGGGAGCCACCACCTGCGCGTCGCTGAGCGCCTCTAGAGTCTCGTCGCGGATGTTGATGGGATGTTGGACGGGGCGTTCCCAGTCCGTGTACTCGTTGGCAATCGTGGCTAGGATCTCTGAGAGGTGATACCTAAGATAAACAATACTTTGAGGTTTTTAGCGAATTTCCCATATAGGGAATAAGCTATTACCGTAGTACTCATGGTAAGACCTGGACGCGGGACCGATTTTTTTTCGTTTTGAGGTCCCTAGAGGCCAAAAACACCATCCGTTCAAATTCATATATATATTTATATATATTATTTTCTTGCATTTTTAGGGCTACTAATATAATAAAATAATTACTAAAAGGGTACTTTGTTATATATGTTTTAATTTATATATATATATATATGTGTGTGTGTGTGTCCGTTAGCACGATAACTCGAGCAAAAATGATCCAATTTTGATGAAATTTGGTACAAACGTGTAAACCTACGCTTATTTGAACGAGTTCGCGATCCAGCATGATCGGACCATGGAAACGGGGGTTTACGGGGGGTTTTATGGGGTAAAAATTGGTTTTTCCCATTTTTGACCCAAAAAACATAAAATTTAGCAATTTCTTTCCAAACCATTTAGTAGAGCTTAAAAAAAACAAATAATTTAGTATATTGAAGCGTTATTATGCGCCTAATGGTTACGGAGAAAATTAAAAAAAATTGTAAATTTAAAATTCCCATGTTATTCTTATGGAGAATAAGTAAACTGTTGTAGTTTGCTTGTTTATGAACATATTTTGATCAAATTTGGAAAATGTTTTTATTTCTTACTAACTACTAACATTTTACAAAAAAAAAAAAAAAAAAACAGTTTTACCCTCCCTGATGCAGCAAACCTAAGTACTTGTTAAACTAATTCTATTTAAATCGGAAATAAATGTTATATTTTTAAGTAGACATTTCAGTGTAAATCCAATCAGTCAAATGGAAATTCGCTTAGTCTGGAGGTTTGCTGTGGCGGGGGTATATTGTGTATCCAAACAGTTTCTCTCAGCTAAATTTCTGGTCAGACCAAATGTGTGTGCTTTAAAAATACGGGTGGGTGTTGGTAGAAATGCATTTGTGTACTTGTAATATTAAACCTGGTAAAAATAAAGAATTACTGTGTAAACAAGATTGGGTTTTTTGGGGATTTGAAAAAAATACTTGATGATAAAACACCTTGGTACGGATCTGACTCGTAAACATCATAAATACATAATTCTAACTAATGTTGCATTTGATGATATCACATGGTTATTGTGAATAAAATTCTGGTCCGATTTATTCTTTGCCATAGTGTGGCCATAGTATTAGTGAGAATATAGTGTATAGATATAGATTCTAATTTGCAGCTTATCAAAATTTCCTGTTGAATAGGTCCAAGATTTTAAGCTCTAGATTAATTTACCTGTAGGTGTTCCTGACGAAAGTCCTGAGTATCCTAGTGCGTCGCTCGCTCTCTATGCCGTACTGGACGTCATCCCCACTAAAGGTTGTGTAAGCCTCCGCCTTGACCACTCCCAGTAGCAGGTCATACCTGGACATCTTGGCCACCATGGCCTTCCTGGCCAGTGGGTTGTTGAGATTGATGTATCCCCCTGTATGAGGGTCATGGGCAGGTGCAGCTGGCCTGCCTGGACCACTTGCACTGTACTCGTTGTACTGACCATGGCTGCTTTCTGTTTTGGATAAAACCATATTGATTTGCATTAGATACTTCACTATTTCGTGAGTGTTCATGAGGCAACATAATATAGCACTAAAATTTGTTGAAGAATCATATTTTTAAAGTAATTTACAGCCGGTGATGCATAGCTAAGACTTATCACCGTACTTCTTAAGGTCGATTCGCACACATCAGTTACGGCACAGTAAAGTCACTTCAGGCACGTCACAGTTAACAAAAATATTCTTTGATGGATATTCTATTGCGCTATCTACACTCATCCGTTGCAGTCCCGTCAGTCACTCTGCTGGCATCCGTCAGTCAATTTCAGATTTCTTTCTAACGATACTTTTTGATTCTTCTGACGCCTGACGGAACTGTTTGAGACTAGAAAATAGTGTTATTGTTATTTAAATGGTTGCGTTTGTATTTTGAGTACTGATTGTAACAATCAACAAGATGGACAGTGATAATTTAATAGAATATAGGTTTAAAATTTAAATTTTTGACTGTAAATTACTGTAAATATTAGAGACGGAAGACTGACTGAAACCAACTGACGGACAATCGACTGAGAAATTGCGGATGCAACTGTGACTGGACTGTAACCGAACTGTGACTGGACTGATGTATGTGAATCGACCTTTACTCGAAAATGACTGCAACACATCTGACACGTTTTTTTTATCTCAGTGATCCATACCCTGAACCAAAGATTTAACAGGATAAGCAGAATTTTATTTAAAAAGCTCTCCTACGTAACGGTTTGTGTTCTCGACATTTTTAAAGATATAAAAGGTTAACGTAAAGTATATTTCGTTAACAAAATGACCTTGGAAATAGATGGACAAACAAATCTAACATTGTGATGGTATGTGAACAAAAGTTACCTTGATTGCTAGATGGTCTAGGCTCTGGGTTACCATTGTCTATAACAACACCGTCCACAGAAGGACCAAAGGCAGTAGAAAACTCAGGGACATCGATGGGAGTGGACAGCAGCGCCTCAAGTGGACGTTCACGCAAACATTTGAGCAAGTGGGGGTGAGGCATCTCGGGCGAGCAGTTGACGTGCTTGGCAACTTGTCGAGCGAAGCGAGCTGGCTCTCGGACTAGTGCCCAGGGACTTAGAGCGGACCCTGACATTAGGATGGCTCGGTGGAACAACAAACCTGGGAAAATAGTTAGTTATATGAAAATATACTACGAAATATTAAAAATACTTATACGAAAATGGTATACAGTTGATTTCGTGTGACTATTATAGTCAGGCAAATGGGCGAATAGTATTATTATTATGCTTAGTAAAAAACCCTTAAAACTATAAATTAGCAATAGTCCGATAATCATTTATTAATAATTATTAGTTGATTATAAAAAATTTGGGTACTTTCCTGATAAAGGGAACATTCTTTATTATCGATGATTTTTTTCTCGATGTATCGATATTAACAAATTGAAACATTTCAGCTGACAACTACGAAAAAAATTGTTCAGTATCAACAAATATTAATGAAATGAAACTGTCCTAAAAAAATAACCTAACATCACTAACCAAACTTGCTGTAACATTAAAAAATTCCGTGTTTATAACTAGCCTTTAAATTCACACCCAAAAGATTTTTTTTAATGGTACAGCAAGTTTGGTTGGTTATGTTAGGTTAGCATAGAACAGTTTCATTTCCTAATCCATATAATAGACTATTTTAGCCTAAACAAGATCAGTTAGTTGTTGTCAATTTGTAATGGATCGGAAAACGAAAACACCGATATATCGAGAAAAAAATCATCGATAATAATGAATGTTCCCTTTAACAGGAAAGTACCAAAATTTGTTATTGAAAATCAATTATTGAGATGGGGTTGCCACTTAGGTGCGTATTCCCAAATATGAGTGAAGGATGAGTGTAGAAAGGCGTCAGATGATCCGTATAGCTTTGTCATTGACTAAGATCATTGAGTCCAGTTTGATTAAATGTATTATTATTTGTATAACTATCCTAAAATAGTTTAATCAAACTAGGAAAAAATTTTTTCAATGCTAACATCAGAAATTAAATGTAAATAGATGTAAGGAAGTAGTTTAAGGAGAGTAGTTTATACAATTTTATTTAAGTACTTAACTGGTGAAAATTTGAAAAGTAGTTTAAATAAATCAACTAAAAGTACTATAATTCCCTACAACAACAAGATAACATGTTGGATGTAATAAAGGTAAGTGGTAAAGTTTCACAGAGATAGATTCTGTTTCACTGCATTTCCCCCAGGAGAAGTTCTTGTGGAAGGATTTCTCTGTTGAGATTAGTCCTTGGAAACTTCATCTGTGTTGTACATGACCGGGGAGCTACTCTTACATACTTTGTGTTACGTCGGTGTAACAAACGGGGATGTTAGAAGGGTTGGATAGAAACTTGCTTGTTTTGAAACTTCATAAACAATTTCACATTTGAATTACACAAAAATATTAAATTTAAAGAACTACTATGTAGTTTAAGTTTTTACGATATTCAATCAATCAATCACTCAATCAATTATTGAGATGGGGACGCCACCTAGGTGCGTATTTTAACCCAAATATGTGTGAAGGATGAGTGTAGAATGGTGTGTGATGACCGGTGTAGCTTTGTTACTGACTAAGATCAGCGGTTTCATTAGTCAGGATCATTTATTGCCCATTGTGTAATTTTTTACACGTTCTACAATTGTATTTACTACATTGTTTTTTAATTTTGTATCTCTATGGAAACAGTTTTTTCATGTTTCTACACTACTGGTGAAAAAGTTTTGTTGAGTTGGCAGCACTGGAGCTTTTTTCAGTGATCAAGCTCACTTCCACATTTGGTGCATCCCATTATTGACGCCTTTTGGAGGTTATGTTGTTTACAACATATAAAAGACCATAAAAACAGGTGAGTCTAGCCAAATAAAAATTTAATTTAGTCATTATAGTGTTTGTAGATCATACCTAGCATATAACTTTGATCTAATATATTCTAATTTACATAATATCGACCAAAATTGGTTTGTGTAATTTTTTACACATTGGGCAGCAATGGATATTCTGACTGACAGAAGGTTTGTGTAGTTTATTACACTATGGGCAACTACAGAACATATGTATAAGGTTTATTGAAACGCAAACTTATACCATCTTATCTTTTCTAGATGGATCGGCCAAGAAGACTTGTGCGGAATGCACCAGGAAGATTGAAGGAAGCCTTCCTTATTCCAGAAGACAGCGATGAGAGTGCCATGGATGACAGCGACGCTGATCCCGATTATGAGCCCATTGAACATGCAAATACAGATCGTCTACAGCGAATAGTTGATGGTCTAAGTAGTAGGCGTTTCATAGATGATGATGATGGCGACAATCCGGACGATCCAGCCGAATTTGATCCAGACATGCCCACGACATCTGGCGCTACATGTAATACTACTGGACTCCGGCGTATCACCAGTATGCCTGGAGCTACTGAGCATGACTATTGCCAGAGAAACACTTCAGGTAATATTTTATTTTAATCATTACTAAATTGTCTCGTTGATCGGTTATCTCTCATGAAAACTTGTTTACGATAGTTATACATACTGTATTACTATGTACATAATAGGCCTATTCAGTTTTATTATATTCCCATGAATGAATTTCAGGTGCTGGTGTGAATCTAAATCGGGATAATGGATCAAATACAAATGAAGATCTAATACATCAAATACAAACAAGCAAAGGAGGTGCAAGAGGTTCGAAAGGAAAAACGAAAAAAAAGGATCTTCCAAAATGGATTGAAGTTGACGCAGACTCAAGTGAAAAACCACCGGTAATATGGGATGACGTCGAACCTGAACTAGGGGAAATTCAAACCCCAATAGATTATTTTAGATATTTTTTTGACACAGACATTTTGGACAGTATGGTAAATCAGTCCAACCTTTACAGTGTCCAGAAAGACCCAAACAAGCCACTAAACATGTCAAAGAATGAACTAGAGCAGTTTTTGGGGATTTGCGTTGGAATGTCTATTTACCGCTTACCACGATCAAGAATGTTTTGGGCTAAAAATACGAATGTGGAAAAAGTCAGCTCAGTAATGTCACGAAACAGATGGGAAGAAATAAAAAGAAACATTCATTGTAACGACAACGCCAACATTCTACCAGTTGGACATCCAGACAGAGACAAATTATTCAAAGTAAGACCACTTATCGATCATTTTCAAGCAAAGTTTCAAGCCTTACCAAAGCCACAGATGCTATGTGTGGATGAACAGATTGTGCCATTCAAAGGAAAATCGGGACTGAAACAATACAACCCTAAGAAGCCTTATAAGTGGGGTTATAAACTGTTTATACTTTGTGATACCACAGGTTTGGTTCACAATTTCGAAGTATACACTGGACACATTGAACCTGTGACAGGAGCTCCTGATCTGGGTGCGAGTTCGAATGTTGTTTTGAGAATGACACAAGTTGTCCCAAAGCATAAAGGATATTTAGTATATTTCGACAACTGGTTTGCCTCACTTCGGTTATTTACTACTTTGGCACAAGATGGAATCGGAGCTTTAGGAACAATCCAGAAGGAAAGGTTTCCTGGGCTAACTTTTCCCTCAGACAGTGAAATGAAACAGAATGGAAGAGGTTCTCTGGTGGAAGTTGAAGTAAATTTCGAAGGTGTGGATGTGCGAGCTTTGAAGTGGTTGGACAACCGAGGTGTAACAATCGCCAGTACTTTTGAGAGTGCAATGCCTGTTTCTCAAATTACAAGATTTGACAGATCATCAAAAAGAAATGTAGACGTGCCTTGTCCTAGAATGATAAAGACATACAACAAATTCATGGGAGGAGTGGATCTTCTAAATGGGCTGATAGCGTACTACAGGATAAAAATAAGATCAAAAAAGTACTACCTGAGACTTATTTTTCATTTTGTTGACATGGCTATTGTGAATGGGTGGTTGAGGTACAGAAATGATTGTCACAGGAGAAACCTTCCAAAGAAGTATATTGTGGACCTGCTTGAGTTCAAAAGTGAAATCTTCAGTGCTTTATGCAGGGAAGGAAAGGATAGTGAGAGAAAAAGAGGACGCCCTTCGTATGACAGAGTGGATGCTGATTATGAACAAAAGAAGCATCGAGGCCCAGCAAAACCTATTCCATGCTTCAACGAGAGAAGAGATGGCATTGGTCACTGGCCAATCGCCACTGGAGATAGGCAGAGGTGCAAGAAACCTGGATGTAAAGGACAGAGTACAATTAAGTGTGGAAAATGTCAAGTACATCTTTGCCTAACTAAGGAAAGAAACTGCTTCACTTCAACTTTTCATATATAATAGAGTTTGTGGTCTTTGGTACATGAAGGAAGCTGTTTTTACAAGTTATCTTTATAGTCATAAGCTTTCTTGCATTGTATTTTTACAAATAGTCACAAGTAAAACACATTTTATAACCTGAAAAATAATCATTTTATTTATAATGCGATAACTCCCTAACTGCCCGATGTGTAAAATTTTACACGTACCCAAAAAAGGTATACAACGTGTAATAAAAAATTTGAAAAAAATTACTAGTTAATATTAAACCTTATTAAACATAAAAACGATAGGAAATAACTTTTAACTCATTTGTATAATAATTTGGGCAATAAGAGGTTAAAGCCCAATGATCAGGAACAGCTGGGTCCAGTTTCGAACCATCAAAAAGCTACTAACTTATCTCAGGATCGAACCGGCGACCATTTGATTACTAGGCGAGCATTATTAAATTTGTTTGATATTAAAATGGAATTGGTATTATTTAGTGTATAAGCTAATCTAAAATCAAGGCTTCGAACAAGATAGTTACTTACATTCCATTGAAATCGTTTATGAGTGTTTTTTTATCATTGGCATCTTTTTAAAACTAAACTGACGTTAGTTATTGTTTATCAAACTGGTTTTACTTCTCAATAGAAACAGATCATAAAATAAAATAAAACATTCATATAGTTTGTGGCATACCGTCCGGCACAGCACTGGAGGTCATGAGGAAGTGCACACAGGCCGCTCCTGTGCCATGACCTACGAGGGTGACATTGCTAGGGTCTCCACCAAAGAAGGCGACGTTCTCCTGGATCCAGTGCAGTGCTGCTATCTGGTCCATGAGGCCGTAATTTGCTGGAGATCTTGAATGCAAGTCCGTATTGGCGTTTAGAAAACCTGAAATTGTAGTTCATAAGTACCATACACCCGTAAAAATATAATATGAGTAAAATGTTATGGATATCGTTTGGAACCTTTTTGCTAGGAAATAAAGTAATAATTTTGTAGGTCATGGTATAAAAGATATGGAATACTAAGCCAAAATCTCCTAAAAGTTAGATAACATATTGACATTTTTTTATAAACTGATAAACTGATAAATGATTAAAATTGTTATTCAAAGGTAGCTCTTGTAATTTTTGATTGTTCTTAGATTTTTTTTATTGTATTTATTATTTGTTTTATACAATGTAAAAAAAAATTGAAATAATTGTTAATAATGTAAAATATTATTGAATATGTGAATTTTTATGACATGTGTAATTGTAAAATAAATTTTTACTATCACTAAGGATCATGGGTCTACAAAACCGTGAGAAAAAAATACAGATTACTTAATATTTTACATTAGTGCTGATTCATAAAACAATTAAATTGATTTTTAGCATGAAATTATAGTAATACCACTTTATATAGCATCTAACAGTATTTATCTAACAATACTTGTCAAACTATTTCATAAATGGATATAAATTACCGTAAAAGGATTTCTAATAGGTATAATTCCTATATACCATTTATCTATTCAATAAATGTATTTATTATCTTTTAAGTAGGCTACAATTATTGTAAATTGTACCTAACAGTATTGTTCTCTTACAAAATTAGGTAATCTTGAAACTTTTGAAAGGCTTTCACCCGGGGAGAAAGATAGCACTCCTAATAGGTTAGAAGTTCGCTTAACTTAGTTGTATGAGTTGTACGAAACTTTGAAAGGTTCTCGTTAGTTCAATAAGGATAGTTTTGATAATAAAAGTTCGCTAATAGCCGTCTTAACTCAAGTAAGGACGAAGTTTATCCTGATTGCATAGAAGAACAGTATAAAGGATCTAACAATTTATGATTCCACGTAAATGATTTTACATGTATTCTATGACTTGTAATTTTTTTCATTCCCTACTTTTAAATATATCACTTACCTAGTATTCCAAGCCTGTAGTTAACAGTGACCACCACAAGTCCTCCGTAGCTAGCCAACACGCTGCCATCATACACGTTCCCAGAGTTCCATTCGTACGACTCCCCGTGGATAAACACGAGGACTGGATATTTGGCGAGCGTATCCCTGTCTAAATAGGAACAAACTGTTAGAATTCAACAATGTCTTATAAATATATCCTTTGAAGAAACATTATATGGTGATAAGAGAAGATAGTTTACATAATCTATCTTTAGGTGTGATACATACGATCGTGATTATTAATAATTTGTGTTTTTAGTGTATATACCTTGCACTGGGGCGTAGATATTTAGGTAAAGACAGTCTTCGCTCTGATTGCTCAGGTAAGGCAAAAGCCTCTTCAAATACTCTAACCGTCCCCTCGGCATCTTCTTGAGAGCTGCCGTCTCGTTGTGGATGTCAGGGAGCCTCTGGGGACACACTGGGCTGAAACGATCGGCGTTCTTCACTCCAGACCAGAGAGCACCGGTCACGGGGGGCATGAACCTGGAAATGTTTTATACACATTGGCGTATTTTATTATAGACAAATATTTACTTATACATAATTAGCTATCATCTACGTTTACAAAACTAAGTGCCTACTATAAGATCTTTTTGACAGTAGAATACAGACAAACAATGTCACATTTACATAAGGATGCTTATTTTTTATAAAAGGAAATAGATAAAAATAAAATAAATATGTTTGTAATTTACCTGAGAACCCCTGTGGGTGGAGATGCGTAAGGAACCCCTCTGTATACCTCCACTGGGTCAAGATGTCTACTCTCTGGTTGGACAACCAGTCCTGAAACCTCTCCGTTCTTCGTCCTCACTACCCTACTTGCTACGAACCCTTGGACCACCTATCAAAAGAAAAGTAGAATTGTAACTTATACGAATATTTGTAATAAAAGTTAAGAATTTCACCATATATAATTCACAAATACAATACTAGTTTTAGAAATAAATCGCTCATTCTCAAATTAACGAGCTCCTTCCACAGTAATGAAGTGGACTAAATGTTGAAAAATGCTAGATTAAGACCTAGGTTGGAAAATCTGTAGTTTATTAAATGCTCGACACAACACAAAAACTAAGCACACCCACTTTATTGGTAGTAAACTTCCAACTAGGTTCCACTGATTTTTCAGATCTGTTTGAATAAGTTACTGTATTTCACATGCCTATTGCAGTAGGCTTTATCAATGCAATAAACAAAAATTACCTCAATTTAGTATTTTCCTTTACATTGCACTCACGATTTCTCATAACCAGAAAACATAATAACATAATGTGAGTTAGATCCAGAATCTCAAAACCATAGTTGGAATATAAGTATTTACAAACTTCCGCTCACCTCTCCCATCAGGAGCATCCCTGCTAGTGCCAGCCACAGACACTTGCTGCGCCTCCGTCGAGTAGTTTCCGTTCGTCGCAGGATCATAGTCTTACACTGAGCTCTGTGTCACCTCCATGCGTCCCATGGTCTCATTGCTGGGGCAGAGGTGGCCTTTATCGTTCACTGTACTTGAGAGCCATTGCTATTCTGAAATAACATCAACACAAAATTATACAATGTTTATTTCAATTAGTTGTGAAGCTTATTGTATAATTTGAACTATACAACTCCAGAAAATTTCAGCATGCATTTTATGACCGAATAATCTAAAGACACTGTGAGCACTTGTAGTTTTTTTTTTCATTTCGGGTGCTTTATTCCAGCTGTAGAAAATTTTATGTATCTTTATTTACTGTTATCAGATGGGATTCGATGGGGACCCATGTTATCCGAATGGGTACTGCATGTAGTGCCACTATAACTGATTAGGACCGCATTTGCATCTTAAACACATTAAACAAGCCACTGAACCAGACACTTTCATAATTAACTGTTATCCCTTGCTTGCACATGGTGTGTAAGAGGTAGGTTGGAATAGAAAGGCCCCTCAAATTTAGACTAAAGTACTCGTACCCACAACAACCATCGTTTTCAAGAGAGCTAGAATCAATAGACACAGGGTTGCTGGACAAAAAAAAATAATCCAGTAAGTTCAACATGGAATGAAGGGTGATATTCCTACTTCATGTGGATATTCACGGGTCACAAGTACTCAAATACATGTTTAAAACACAAATAAACAAGTAAATGTTTAATCATATTTCAGAAAAAGCAATTTATATAACCCGACCTCATTAACCACACGTAAACCTCTACGCATGAAAATAGGCATGTTTTGCTGCTCTCGTTTGGTAGTCAATATTTGTAGGCTCAAAATTACGTAGGATAGCTGACAATGAACACAGTCATCTTCAAGGAATGTCAGTAGCTACGAACTTTTGTGAATAAACCAACACACACAAAAACACCATGTTTATACTTGAACTAGAGTAAATTGCAATAAACCATTTCACCCAACCACTGTTTTTCCATGCTTTCAAATAAAAAATCATTTATGTTATTTCACTCATTCCTCTTAGCTTAGGGAATTAAATTTATATTGTTTTCCACTATTTCTTTACCCTAAGTTAATTCATTTTAATATCTATAGCAAAGCCCAATAAAATGGATTTAGCGTTAAATGGACAATGATTTCTCCTTAAAATAAGTAATGCAATGTTAGGTAACCCACAATATAAGGATAAAAAGTAAACACAAACGCAATACAATTGTTTTTCAGATGTACAAACTAGGTGAAAGTACTAAACATCAATTTCACACTCACGTTTTACTCAAAGTTGGAACAAGTCGTAAGTCTTTCCAGAACCTGTAACAAAGCATTCTTTGAAATGAACAGGACAATGACTTCGCATGGAACACTTTATTAGATTATCAATAAAAATTCGAACTTTTGAATACATACACTCTCTTCTATTTATATCATGAAATTATTTACCTACAATATTTAAGACAATGAAAGCTTGTTCTTATTCATCATATTTTCAACATATTACACTTGTAACACCATTCCAACCGAACTGTTACGTTTTAACAATCTTGAAATGAAAAATATTTTCTAGCCTGTATGTAATCACTCCTCGCTGTGTTCCCATTTCCCATGGGTGCACTCAAAGCTGAGAGATTTCCCACTAGAATTGCTCCATTTAGAGATATCGTTGCTTGTTACATCCGTTATTCTGAACAACACATTATGCTTCAGATATTAATTAACATGAATTATAACTACGTAAATACCTGCTTGAGATTTAAATGTTGTTTATTTGGGGGGCTTTAGGTGAACATGTTTGGGAGATTAAAACACTAAATGATAACAAAATACGATCGAAATTAAGGAGACAACAATGTGAATAAAATACAAAAGTAACTTTTTCTTTATGTATATTTACCATCCCACCCGCTTACTATGAAAAACATAAAAAATGTTATCTTTGACAATTGTTTTTCCTATTTGTATTTGTATTAATCTATTCCCGGTTACTTAGTTTCCTACACCACGGTGTCTTAGGAAAAAAACTAAGCATTTAAGAAATAATATAATGATATTAGAGTTACCAAACGTAAACGTAATTGAGTTCCTATAAACCATAGATAATATCATTCAATGATAGGTCAGCAATATGGCAATATGTATAACTTAATAATTTTTTATAAGCAATAAATTTCTATCGGTAATAAATAAATGAATTTAATTTGTAAAACATTAACTGATTAATTTAGGAGTTATTTTCAACTATGGAAAACATGTAAATCTATTATATTCAGGTGTAGTGCCAGTATATTTTACTAAATATTAAACTTTTAAATATATTTTAAATACTAAACCTAATTTGTATATACCGTATTTAGTAAAAAATAATTCTCTTTAATAGTACAACATATAAAACTAACAATGAACAATGAATTTTTATAAAAGATCGTATTGTTATCTACCATTTACTCTAAACATTCCTAAAATGAAATTATCCACTTACCCTTTCGCATAATACACAAAATGGTTTGGACTTAATTTATTTTCATTTTCACATTTAAGTCCAAATGTTGTCAATCATAAACAGTAGACTGTAAATCATGGTTACTACAAAGCCATTTTAGAGTCCTAAATGTCATGTAAAGCCTCCTTACTTACATTAAATATCATAAAACTCAACAATACCAAGTGGACACTTTTTAATTTTTGTATTTACTCTATTTACAACTACTATTAAAATTTTCAACAATTCGTCCAATTTTCTCAGACGCTTTTGCCTACAACCTTGAACATATTGATAGAAAATTATTGGTTTGTCGTATAAACCTGCCATTAAAGTTGGAAACAATAAAAATTAAATTAATTATTCAGATAGCTAAACAAATTATTTAGCTTAACAAAAAGCAAGAACAAAGAGAAGTATTTATCAATGGCGGTGCTACGTTATTGTACTTGTATCAGTGCCGTTATATCTGCCATTAACGTTTCTCGAGAGAGTCAGTGGCCCAGTAACACTGCTAGTACTATCTGCAAGTCCTATATTACTAGCTGGTGTTCAAACTACATTTAAACAGGATATTTAAAAGTAAATTCTCATAATAACCGACTGTTAATTTAACTTGGTATTCTATCCAAACTAAATATTTCTCAATGGGAATATACTACTTTATCATATAGTATTACAATATAGCGTATCGTGCACTACAACATTTAAGCTATGAATACTAAGGTATTTCCATATAGTTATGAGATATTTGAGGGTTATGGAAGTCTTAACAATAAAATATATGAGAAAATTCATCAATTTAAAGGTGTAATCCTAACCTAACCTAAGGTGTAATAAATATAATTAATTATTATATGTGATCAAACTAGACAAATGTTAAAACCGCCAGTTCCTATTATTATTCTTCTTTTTTTTGGAATGGAGGGAAAATGCTTTTACGACGAACCGTTGTTTACCGTAACACCGCCCACCAGCGCGCCTTCCCCCACCACTGCGCCTCCTTGCCAAACGCGTCTGCTGTCTGCTGTAAGCTGGTGTCGGTGTCGTCTGCACGGCGTGTTGTTTTGTTTTCATAGTGTCTCGTCTTTGTTAGTTTGTTGGTAAAAATGTTTATTTGTAATCATTGCGATAATTAGTATGCGATAATTATTGCGAAACTGTTTAGTATTGATTCTTTGCAGTAAACATTTATCTGATGACACGACGATGAAGTTTAAGTTAGATAAGACTTGGAGCAATTGTCAAGCTCCTTAAAGATGACGCTGTGCTCACCGATTATGTACAGCAATTCAGAAAAAAAAAAACGCCGCCGTGGACAACTTTTCTATGGATAGCCTGATATTGTTGAGGTAAGATCTTTTACATCTTAAATACATATTAAGTTAAGGTTTTATCATAATAACATAATGATCATAATAAACCTAACCTAACTCTGCAAAGCGCTGTACAGTGATATTTCAGGGGGTTACAGAAAAAATAAGGCCTAGGTTGTTTGACAGTGACTGACTGACCATTTGAAATGTAATCGTTGCCAGTGGTCGTGCCCCCGTTTGGTATTACTCCACCAGAGAAGCAGTCCATCTTTAACCCTCGGAGTGTTAAGCATCGCGTAATCGACGCACAACACACCCGCCGTGGTGTTATGCGTCGCTTTTGCGACATACAAACATCGTTTACGGCAAAGGCTCTGGCACCGACTGAATCAGATTGAACTGGATCGAGATTGGTATCGTTGTATTCAGCAGATTCTAAGCTTTCTCCTGATGTCTGTTACTAGACGCTTTTCATTTTAATTCCGAATATATTGTAGCAGACAGATGACGTGCGTATTTGTAAACAACTTGGTTAACCTCGCACCGATGACTGATGTGTTTTATTACGTTTATCATTGTTTTAGTGTTAAAAATAAAATGTTGTGAGATGCGTGGTGCATTATGAGAAGATTTAAGTGATTTTGAAGGGCTGGTTGATGATGTAGTGATATTGATGTAAATCATCCGCCAGATTCCTAGCTATGGTTAGGCTAGCTAACGCTAAATGTACGAAATCTGTTTTTCACCCATAACTTATTTATTTGCAAACCTACTTCCTTATATTACTATATTTTTGGAATCCTCGTAAAATTTTGAACAAAGTGGCTATTTAAAAAATTTGTAGACCTATGAATTATAAACATTTATCAAGCGCAAACATAAAATTGTTTTATTTATTTTATAAATTTGAAAAATAATAACCCCGCAAAAGTGTTAGAAAATTTTTTTTGTCATGTTTTAGGCTATATATAACATTGAAGCCCATAATTTTCCAAACAATATGATATATAAAAAAGTATACTTTAGAGTGTTTTTCAGTTACATTTACATAAGGTACATTTTAATAAAGTCCTGCGATTGCGCAATAAATGGGCGGACATTAATACCATTACTATGGACACTTGGAGGGTTAAAATACCTTAAAATGAAAGTCTTCTGTGCCTTAGAAAAATGTTAAGGTTGTTTTCATGTATTATAAGATCGTACGAATAGGCCCACTTAATTTGAGGAAAAAATAAGCTGGCATCGCAAAATTTCACAGACACAGAAATTGGTGCTTATCAGCTAACTTATAACTTATGATAATATTTTGGCCTTAAAACTCAAGCAGACCTAACTTACTTGGATACTTGAAGTCTATGTCGTTGACCGATGATATCGGTATGACTGCGTCATATTTACCTATAACCCTATCAGAACTACAATACTACCTACTATAATATTCAGAAATAATTAGGCTGTTGTCCTATTAAAGAATACAATTTAGCCTACAGTGTAAACATTTTAGGTACTAAGTGTCTTATCGTTATTCATGCAATGTTTTAAAGTCCTCAGATTATCCTAAATTTTTCCTTCCGGATCGATATCTGCCATATGAATCTGGGGACAACATTACCTAACATAGGCCTAACTGCCACAGTGAGAGTAATAGTGACACTAACTTATTACTCTCACTGTGGCAGTTAATAGTGGCTGTAATTTTAATGAAATCCCTGTAAAAAAAAACAATAAATTGTATTAGCTAATTTTGGTTGAACTTACATATAAGCACAGAAAACGTACTACTATAACCCAGAATGCCAACCGCATGGTAAAAAGCATTAAGCGTTTTGAGAGAGCTTTGCCTGTCAATCCGTAGCCAGCGCCACCAGCGTTGCCATGCAATAGCATAGCAACGCTGGTGGCGCTGCCTACGGATTGACAGGCAAAACTCTCTCAAAACGCTTAATGCTTTTTACCATGCGGTTGGCATTCTGGGTTATAGTAGTACATTTTCTGTGATATAAGGCCTGTGGCACAGCAACATGGAAGTATTTAGTGTAAAGTAATTTTGTTATCTGACGGAACTTTGAAACCTAACTATACCTGATTTAGTTTTCTATTATTTTTACTTTTATTACTTCTACCTGGTGTCAGCGCAAGTGTAGCCTTGATTTTTAAATTTTTACAGCTCATTTCAGTAGAAGCGAATTATTATCTCACACTCACAGTTTTGTCTAGTTTGGTTTAATCTTGATTGGTTTTTTGATTGAAACAGTTTAAAAATCTGAATCAGTAAAGGACCACCTCTTACTTTTTTTATCGAGTAATGTTATAAAAAAACTAAGGCCTTTTTTGTTTCAGACTCCAATTGAACCCATGGAGATTAAGACGCCAAGACAAAGCACAGTGAAAATCAAACGGACATCAGCCAAATCCACCACAGCAAACACACTCAAATTGATAGATCAGTTTCTCCAATGAAAAAAACTCCAAATGTAATGATCTAAGACTTGGATAAAAGAAGATTCACTTTGTTTTTGTGAAATGTTTAAATACACTGTATTTGACTAATTAATTTGTTTTATTTACTAAACCTCAACTTCCTCATCAATAAAATTCCTATTGTGCCTGTTTCTAAATTAGTTAAGTTACTCTTGCAAAATATATTTGTTTTATTTCACAGTCATTATTTTTTAATATTTTCATTCTGTCCTTCAGCATTGGAATTGTACAGTTCCATTTGATTCCAATTCCAATTTTGAAATTCATTTAATCACCCTTAAAATTGTGATTCTAATCTAGTAAGGAATAACTTCTGGTATTGTGTCTTTAAAAGTTTGAAAACAAATTCAAGAATCTTGTAAATGTAGCCTATTTGTGAGTGAATCATAGCCTACAGTAATAGGCCTTAAAATGCATTCATGGTCACACCTTAATAAAATAATATATTACTTTTATTTGCTTTTACATACAGTTCTGCAGTGCTAACAGATTGTTATAATCAAAATTATAACTGTATAAAAAAAACTACATCTATAACTTTTAGGTCATTAATAATTAGTTAGAAACGTTAAAGTATGATTTTTAGCCAGGATATACTCTCTAGTTATAAAAAAAAGGAATGCTTGCCATACTAGAAGCTTGATTATAAATATGTTTAGAATTTTTGGCCCCAAGAACTGAATATGCAATGAAAACCTTCACGTTCAGATGTTCAAATCAATTAATCATGTAGATATATTACATGTATCTCTGAATTTTTGGCTATGTCAGGTAATTGTAAATAAAGACTATTATTAACAGAAATGTTATCACAATAAAACTCATTTATTTTTTTTTCTAGTAAGAACTCGAAGGTTGAACACGAGCCATCAGCCCATTTATTAACACGCAATTTAAATTTCGCACCAACTCCGGCCTCACGCAAACATGGCGGGCGTTTGACGCGGTGGTGGGGGAAGGCGCGCTGGTGGGCGGTGTTACGGTAAACAACGGTTCGTCTTTTACGCACACAGTGTGGTGTTAGATTCCTGAGAGGATCATACTACTCACTAAAAAAACCCTCTACTCTGTTGGACGCAGACCTGGAATTGTTTGTCACATTTTATCAACAGGCCAACATGTGACCTAAGCCCTAGCGCTCCCACTGTTTCCGGCATTCTGTTACTTTATAACCTAGAATACCCTGGACGAAATGTGCCTTATCTAATAAGCCAGTTCTCATTAGAAAGCTCATACGTCGAAAACAGCTGGTGAATTTCACACGATAAAACACAACCTACCTAACAATTACCTAAAATCTAGCTTACGTTTAGCTTAGAAATAAACGAGGGTATCCCAAAGGGAATGTTCTGCCTCTCCTCCTCTGGAACATTGTGGTAACCTAATCTTCTCTGACAGAGGCACATTCGTTGAGGGAATATGCTGACGACATTGAGATTCTGGCAGTGGCCGAATCCAACAATCTTAGAAATTGGTCGGACATTGATCGGCCTTGAGTTAAGGGAGGTAGGAAGCTCATGCACTGATCGTTCGTTTATGTGGTAAGGCTACATATTGGTGTGGGTGGTGAGAGATCTGTATTCCGTTCAGAAACTTTTCTGTCTCATTATAACAAGTACAATGTTTAGCTGTCCGGGAGCTTTATTAACATGTTACCATACAAATTGCTCAATAAATGTGGCTGTGGGTAGTGCTGCCTACAGACTACAATGGAAAACCCTTTAAGTGCATGCAGGAAGACCCCGATTTCATTCTCGGATCACTGAAGTGGTAGGTGGAGAGTTTCTAGACCATACTACTAAAGTCAAGTACAATACTTTCTCGTTTATCTTGAATGAATTAAATCTGTTTTGTATATTTTACCATATGATTTACGATATTCTTACTAAAATGTGTTTGCTGAAATCAAAACCAACTATTTTGACTTAAATATAAGGTTTATAGGCCAAAATTGAGAAATTACCTTTTGCCTAGTCAACAGCAGAGAGTCTGTCGATATTGCTCAGCACCTGAAACATAGTTATTTATTTATTTTTTTAATTCGATACCCACATTAATTTGTTGTACACAATCTATGTGAAAAGGTTCAGGATTTTCTTAATGAGTACTTTCAGGTAAGCTGGACTATTTATGTCCTTAAAGATTATATACGACGAGCCCTTGGAAATTCGATCCAATGAATCGACAGATTTTGAAATGTTTTGGAGACAAGTAGTTAAGACATAGTTGGATAGATGTAAGACATTCCAGCAGGGTAAACTATTTATTTTCACTCTTCTGAGTTCAAAACTTTCATATTTATGATGGGCAAATTTAGGCAATCGAATAAAAGTGTACAATACATAGGCATACTTTTAAACATGTGGAAGGGCTGTAAACCAACCAGTGTTTATAAACTATGCACTATAGATCTAATATTTACTACAGGATGATACCGAGCTTAATCATCGCTAATACATGCTTCAGTGGGCTAGAAAATCGATAACGGTTCATGCATTTGTAAACCAATCTTTGGTGTTACATTTAGATTTAGATACCATGATGTAAAAATAAAAAATAACCCTCTATTAAGGAAACCTTTATTTAGAATTTTAACTACTAAAATTCTTTTTCTGTGTATAAATGCAGAGCTATAAGTAGTTATAGACGAGATCGTAGTTATCAAGTTAAGCTTTACGCAGAAATGACCCCTTGGCTGGAAGACCTTTTTGACTTTATTGATAGGCTTTATTTGCAATTAATACAAAAATACAACACAATATTGCATCTTAAAATCACTGGCAATAGGTAAGAATACAACTCAGTGCATTCAACAACAAAATATGGCACGGACAACAGTTTCTTTTTGTAGTCGACTATCTTAATTTTTAATTGGGTTAAACGTCTGTTTTTATATACCTTATAATTGCATACATAGTTTTTTACGGAAATAATGCATTAGGCGACAATGGGAACCTATAGTAATTTATACATCATTATAAACTAGATTTTTAACTGAAAACAATGGGGCAAAAACACCTACTGTGAAAAAAAAACTGAATAAACTACGATCGTTTAAATCTTATTACTGTAATGCCTCTTGTCTGCTTGTCTCTGTTGCCATTTCTGTGTTAAGTGAATTGAATACTATCAAAAACATGAATGATTGAAATGATCGTCTAGGGAAGAAGAAGAAATCTAAGACGACAAAACATTAAGTTTATACAAAGAGGACAAACCAGTAGAGGCATTTGTAAATGCAATTGGGCGTTTATTATGAATGTGAACTAATCAGTTCTTATTTAAACATGTTAGGTAGGTAGGTCGGGTGTTATGTAGATTCATGATTATATTAAGTTTGTTTTAAGTTAGTTTAGATTAGGAAGGTAAAGTTTAGGTTGTAATGAATAGAGTTGTTAATTTATGCTATCTACATACTGTTTTGCACAGTTGAATACTGTAGTGCTTTAATTTAACCCGATAAATATTATTTTTGAAAATGCTTGCATATTTAATTACTAATGCAACGGAAAAATTATCTGTTACATGTTTTCTTTCACAAAACCTTTTATTTAAAAGTGAATACAAATAACTTACTTTTATATCGCTATCTTCAAAACTGTCGCCCTAAATGAATTGGGGAACTATGGGTATGAACAGGATTGTTTGCCATTGTCTATTTTCAGACGGCGCCTCCCAAGCAAGAAACAAATGGGCCAGCGTTGTCTAAACGTCAGCACCTACTGCAAAATTAATCTTACAGACACCGGAAAATCGGTGACGATTCTTTTATGGTTTTGTATTTATTTGTGAAAACCTGTTATTTATTACTATTTCTAAAACGTTTTACTAGATAATTTAATGTTACATCCCATTTCAATAAAAAATGCAAAAGTTTCATATAGTTTTAAGTTTATAACCTATAATAATTTTATGATTAACTTTGTGTCATTTCATTCTTGTTAGTGACTATACCGACACTTCCTGAGACACAGCTGTTAATTAATAGCCCATACAGCTAATGGCAACTAAGGAACCTACAGTTTATAGTGGAATCCGAACCAAATTTTTGCATTGGTATTAACGAATTGGTCTAGTTATCAGGATAGCACTGCAGGTAATCGTAGTACTCACTAGTGCGGACGTTAATCAGAATACCGCACCATTGGGGACACGTCTTAAAACCGGACAATTGTGGACACTAGGGATTAATGCTACCTGACAAGAGTTTGACAGGTCTCTACAATTATTTCACTGCCGGACAACTGCGGACACATGTTCTGGAAAGAGTGTGATTTCCACCTAAAGAGCAGATACATACATGATATATGATTTTAAGACTGATTTCCGTCACACTTTACACAGGCTTTGGACTGTCAAAATGGTAAAATAATTTTGGCGTGTTTAAAATCAAATTAAGCAGGCCTAGTGTCCGTAATTATCGGTTTTTAAGACGTGTCCCCAATTTTCCGTGTCCGCAACTGTCCGGACACCGTTAATCAACACCAGGGAGTGTTGCATCCACAGTGCATGCCTATAAATATCCACAATTCGTGACCTCCTAGTAGCTGGATTACAGGACGACGCCACCGTCCCAGTCAAACTTATAGTATATTATATGTATTGCGTCAAACATACTTTATACGTAGGACTTGACAATTGATATGTAAATTGTTCTTGCCACACATTAAATGTACCTTACTTAGTATTTCAATCCATAGGGTATTAATGTTAAAAATGTCTGCTAAATATATAATAATTGTGTTATAGTTCCTCAAAGCTGTGATTTTGTCATGAAATTAAAATTTTGTTTCACCCCTGGTTCATGAACTCGTTCAAATATACACAGGCTTACACATTAGTGTTACGTTGAAAAAAAAATCTACTCCAGTTATTGTGTTATATGTATAAATTTGAATTGATCATGTTTTTGGCTTCTAGGGACCTCAAAACGAAAAAAGTAAATCAATCCCGTCACTAGGTGTTACCATGAGACCTGCTGTTATAGTTTATACCCTATATATAAAAATTATTTTTTTTAAGAGGTTTGCGGCCTCTTTTCACCTTGCATTTGCCCGTCCAAAGACTACAGATCTGCGCGTGGAACGTATCCAGCAAATCAAGGGGTGAGCCGGTACAGTACAAAGGTGAACTGTACGGATAAAAGTTTGTGACAGTAACCAGGGGTGTCGTGCCAGAAGCGACCCGTGCCAGATGCGACCGTGCCAGATGCGACCGTGCCAGAAGCGACCCGTGCCAGAAGCGACCGTGCCAGAAGCGACCGTTCTAGAAGCGACCGTGCCAGAAGCGACCGTTCCAGAAGCGACCGTGCCAGAAGCGACCCGTGCCAGAAGCGACCGTTCCAGAAGCGACCGTGCCAGAAGCGACCCGTGCCGGATGCGACCCACCAATTTTCTACCGTGCCGCTAGCGACCCAAGAATTTGGACTGGAAGGCGAGTTATAATTAACGCCGATTCATCTTATATTCTAAAACAGAATTTCACTATAACAGTTAAAGCGATTTGCTGTGACATTAAATAATAACAAAATACTCCCGCCGCAGCAGTCCTGCAAACTTTATTCCCATTTGGGGAAGAAAAAATAGTTTTATTATGTAAATTGTATCGTATGATATATACGAGTATACCTTTGCATTAGTAAACAAAGACAAGTATTTTTTCATCCAACTGCAATGTGTTGACATAGCGGGTGGAAGCCGAAACATGTAAACAACCTACATGTACTATTGGAGCAGTTTTGTCGGATTATAAAAACCTATTTATCACATCTATCTATATATCTATATAATACGCTAAGCCAATTTATGTGAAAAGAACTCCTTCCACATTTTTAGTCCGATTTTGATGGTTAAGTGTAAAAAAAATGGTCCTGATCTGTAGTTTTGCAAAGTGCGTTTTTTAAAGACAAATTGATTTTGTATGTACCTAAGTTTGAAAACTTTTAAGGAATGTCCCTATAACTTTATGACTCAAAATAAGCTATAAATTCTTATAAATTATAATGTATTTTATATTATTTTAATACGTATTATATTTGAAGAAGACCTACCATACATTGTTTGAATGCTGATTTAGCAATCGTGCTAGACAGAAATCTATTTTATTGTTTACCCGTTGGATACAACCATAAACAGGCATTATTAACACAACTTTTATTTTGTTAAGTTTGACATTGGATGGTATTTAACAGTTTACTTTTTAGCTCTTATTTCTAGAAAATATTACATATACAAACAAATATATGGGAAACATGTGCATCTCATAACCAAATCTTACATGAATATAAACTTAAAAGCCAACAAAAAACTTTAATTAATTGTGGATCTTACCTTTAAAAGTATTGCCTCTTGTCAATAATTAATTATTTTTCCTGCAACAGAAAAGGCAAATTAATATCACATAGGCAAAGATTTCAAAAATAATCCATATCGTTAAAATGCATTAGGTTTAAAATCTTTGGTCTGGCAATTAAAAATACAATTTAGAACTGTAAGATAAAAATGCAAATCATGTTGGAAAACTCAACAGCATTTAGGGAATTACAGCAGTGGAAACAAAGCTTAAAATGGCGAGTTGAATTATAGGCAAAGAGCGTCAAGAATAGCAATTAAAAAGGCGGGGCCATAAATTCGCTTCCATTGTAAAACAAGTTGACAGAAGTTATTCAGTAGCAATTTTACTTTTAAAAACGTCTCTATCTATGTGTAATGTTTCATTAAATTATCCTGTACACTTATTTACATATTTAGTCCATTGTTTCATACTCATTCATGAATATCACTAGCTAAAACAATTAAAATAATAAGAAATTTGTGCTAATATAGTCCTTTTTTTTAAATAAAAATAGAAGCTGGCTGAACAAAAGATTTTAAATTAAATATAAAAAACCCTACTTTATATTTAATGATTTGCGTTCCTGCTAACTTATGATCACACATGTTATAATAATGGCGTGTTTCTTAACAAGGCCAGGCGTATTAAATCTGATAAAAATCAAGAATTTAAAGCAAC